CCACAAGGAAACATGGAAAGGTAGTGTGTGGAAATGCTAGACACCTGAAAGGAACCAGGTACGTTAGGTTTCAATTGGTCAGAGATGGCAGAGCTCAAGCAGCTAGAAATCCTTCCCAAAACCAAGTCTGTCGTACAGTCTTCCTAGCTATAACCACACTAGATATCATCACCAAGTGATCACAACTAGAGAAATCAAACAAGGAAACATGTGACAAAAACACCTGTGCATTTTCTCTCATGCTTGTCAAAATCCAGAGACACAATCACTTGAGGTGCTCCAAACCCTTGCATTATATTTGCTTAAGAGACACAATCATATTCAAATTAGCCTTAAGTATAAATTCCATGGTATTTCAGAAACTAGCTCTTGGGCTTTAGGGGATAGTGGAGGCAAAGAAAAGTGTTTCAAAACCTCCAGAGATAAAGAAAGGCTCGATATAACAGAGACGATCAGGACAGGCATTTATGTCAGGCGCAAACCATGCTGGTGCAGTGATAAGAAAGCAGAGAGCAAGTATCCAGGCAGAATTAGAAATCACGGTTTACCTGGGGCCAAACTGCACCATGGAACACAGCATCAATCTCTTCCGTTCTGAACTGGTAGGACTCCCAATCCAAAAAGATGTCAGTTACCATTTTGATTCCAAGACGTCTTAAATTTTTCAGTGGGTTAATAAGCCTCAGCTGTATCTGTAAAACAAAGATCTATTAATATATATATGTGTGTGTGTATATATATGTATTTTTTTAATCCTTGATTCCTCAAGGAGGCGCTCTTGTTCAGATGGCTAAGAATCAAACTAGAAATCTTGTTGTTAAGTGTGTTGACTTTAGCTCTGATTCACATGGAAATGTTAACCAAGCAAGTCATACTGTTTTTCTCATTGAACAAGATGGGAAAACAGAGACTTAAAACATTAAATGATGAGATGTGCTCCATCATCACTGCCCAGGAAAATCACACTACAGGATCCTTAGCGGGGGAAAAGCACAACTGGAACAGCTGTTTCGTGTTCTACATTGTTTTACTTTTCCATTCAAGTAACTGTCCCCAATAAAGTCCCGATTTCTTACTATGAACAGAACATTCTAAACAAAGCACATCACAATGCCTTAGGCTAGGGGAAAAAAGTTAAAGCTTCATTTGAAATGAAGGTCCCATTCCTTATTGCGTTCGTATTTGTATTACTACTATTTTTTACCTTTTTTAAAACTAGGAATTTTCCATTATTCTTGTTAAAACTAGTCTAGGGGATTAATTTATGGTCTCTCCATACAGTGAGATACTTTGTGCAGTAAGAGAGAATGAGGC